TGTTTCAGCCCCGTACCTTTTGCTGGTCTCGAGATGAAAAATCGGTACAGACGAACACACAGACACACACACACACAGACAACCTCTCGTCAATATGCGTTTTCTGCATTGCATAGCTGCAAAAAACGCGTAAAAACCAGTACTAGTGACAAAATATAGGCAAAAAGTCAAACTCCCCTCCCTATTCAGCTTGCTTCAAACACACACACAGACAACCTCTCGTCAATATGCGTTTTTCGCATTGCATCTAAAAAACGCATACGCACACACAGACACATACACACACAGACAACCTCTCGTCAATATGCGTTTTTCGCATTGCATTGCTGCAAAAAACGCATAAAAACACACAGACAACCTCTCGTCAATATGCGTTTTTTGCATTGCATTGCTGCAAAAAACGCATAAAAAGATCTGAAGAAATACTGCTTCATCTGCCTCCTCTCCCACAATTCACAAGCTTTTCATGAAGATCAACAGCAGCTGACCAAAAAGATTTCTCGATGAGCAGCAGCCGAGGAAGCAAGCTGGATTCGAAAGTAATTAAAACACAATGCACCATATTATCGTTCTGAACCAGCCGCTGGGACGTCCAAAGAAGTGCTTCTCTCTTTTTTGCCTATTCATCAATTACGAAGAAAGTACTCGATAGTCTAGCGCTGAATGCTGCGCTTCAAACTCTTGTAAATGGAAGGATTGATGGGAAATACGCGGAAAATCTCAAGAAATCAAACATAGGCTGATCAACAGGCGTGGCCTTTTTCCCGATCGAGAAGGAAGTGAGGCAAGGCAAGCCTATATCGCCTAAGCTCTTCATGGCCTGTTTCGAAAATTGGACTAAAAGGTGATTTGAAGACCAATATCGAGCACCTGAATTACTTACGCTTCGCGGATGACACAACTTTTATTGCCAACAATCCTTACGCAACAATGCACGGAGGGAATAGATCTGGAAACCAACGTATCGAAAACAAGGGTGACGCAAAGTATAAGCATAATCGTGGCAAGGCTGCAGATAGACGATGCGGACTTGAAGGACAGTTAGTCTGACTCGGACAACAGGTAAATATGCGCCGAAATCTCCAGCTGGAGAAGAGCTACCAGCTGGCGCAAATTCCACAGCATGGCTGATATCTTTAAAGCGTCAAACTAGGAGGATCGTACCCATTTTTTCAACGGCACTGTGTTGAAGATAATGACGTACGGATACGAAACGTGGTCACTGACGAAAACTAAAAAGCGAACATGGCTGTGGCGGAGGACGATGGAGCGAAGAAGTGCAACAAAAATTTATCAAAAACTATTATGAGCATATCCCAAACAGATAAGGATTGCTCCATCAAATGACAACGTGTGGCTAGAGCAAAATGAAAAATTTCTTACTTTTTGCCTAGGGTCTTCTAAAGATTCCAGGCTTTTCGTGATCATCTCATGTGAAACAACACTTGCTTCTGTACCATTTGAAGAGCCACAGAGACCCATTGGCAAAGCCATCTGAAAT